GGCATCTTCTTTGGTCTCCTTCTCTTCATCGATAGCATCATATTCTTCTTTGTCACTATTTACGATGCTAGTTTTTATTACTTCTTTGTTTTCGTTGTTGGTTAAGCGCCGGGTTGGAAGTATTAATTTTTACAACGTCAAAGTTCATCTTGACAAAGTCAATATTTCTCTTTATATACAGCAAGGAGCACTGATGATGATTCATTCGGAATCGAAATATGGCCTTATTTGCAGCATGAATTCGAAAAATAAGTTTATTTTGAATTTTAATAAACTAAACGTTCACCAAAAAACTTTAGCGAGAAAAATCGAAAAAACGAACTACAAACATATTAACGCCAAACATTCGGTAGAATTTATAGAATATTGTAAAAATGATGGTCTATTACCAACATATATATATATATATATTTATATATATATATATATATATATATAATGTAAGTATGAGTGTGTATGTATGTGTGTTGGTGTGTATGTATGTATGTGTGTGTTGGTGTCTGTGTTTGTAAAAAGTATACAATACCAGATATTTGAAAAACATTATCTGGATGAAGCTACGTGTTTAACTAGTTAGTTTTGTTTCGTCTAATTATTTATTTGTAAATTTTTGTTTATAAATTCAGTTTTGTCTTTAAATAAATAAGGGAATGTATTTTTAAACTTTTGTCTGAGGTGAGATGTGTCTTGTGAGGAATTGATATGTAGAAGATTTGTTTCTTTCGTTTTTAGAAATATTACTATTATTTTTAGACCCAAGCAATTATTATTGTGGTTATTATATTGTCAAAAAATAAAAAACTTTCAATAAAGTTTAACGTATAATTCTTCAATATAGTTCAGCTCTACTACATATAATAACAAACATACATTAATAAACATTTTTATTGTGATAGTGTCATAAACAACACGTATATATATATATATATATATTAAAAATGACATTACGTACTTTTTATATATGTGTGTTTGTACAGGTTGAACAACAAAACGAAATAAAAACAAACTGATATTTATCTGTGTTTCAAGCAACTAAAACGACCGAATTAAAAATTTCGAACATTTTGAATGAAATATGTATTGGTATGATATACACGGACCGGTGATACAAGAAAATTTTTAATCAAATTTGTATCAACAAAATCTGAAATCTTACCTATTGGACCACGGTCTATTTCTTAGATTCCATGTTCTCAAAGTGAGATAATTAGATAATTCGCTCTCAAATTGAGATAATTAGTCGATCATATAATCAAATGCACCGACAACAGAGTCCAAATAATATGTCCTTGTATCTTTTATTTAAATCAATTTTTACGAATTTACTTCTAACAAAATACCTCGGTTATTTCGGGGTCCACAGACATCGCCAAAATACTCATAAACCACATTTTTTCAAATATTTAATCTTCTAAATAACTTTTTTAGAGATTAATAATCATTTCAAGACTTCAAAACCGGCGAATCTGGATCGGAAAAACTATGATAGATAGAGAGTACAGTTTATACTTAATCTGCTTAGCAAAATGCCGAAACTCCGATGCGATTTATGATGAAAATATGCGCCATTTTAATTAAATAGTATATTTCAAATCTTCTCAAAAAATAATTAACAAGAATCTTTAAAATAACCGTTCAGAAACTGTCAAGAATTCGGAGGAGAGAGTTATGAACAGAGGAACGCCATATATACAAACGTATGAAATGATAAGAATTGAATCACCGCGAACGGGTTCACATCCGAACAGATGAACATACAAACAATACAAACATCAGAAAACAAAACGACTTTAAAAAATAAACAATCCAATCGCATAAAAAAAGCATTTTGAATGATATTTTTAAATTTATAAAAATCATTATCTTGGAAAGAATCTTCTGGGCGGAAGCCCACGTGACAACTGTTCCCTTGGAAACCTCGGCCTGCCATTAAAGAAAGGGGCCGTCACAAACCTTTCCCTCATCATTGGACCACCCCTGGGAGGAAAAAATGGCGGCCTCTGGGGTCCACGTCCGCGAAGGAAGTTAGGAAAGTTGGGCCTCATCATCATCCTGCCAGGCATTTGTTCATTTGGAGAGAAAGGAGGCCTACTTGAGCAGTTGACAAATGGCGGCCGGTGATTGAATCGCTGGCGTTGTTGTACGGGAAGGTTTGGTCGCGTGATGACGTTGTTGTTGCAGTTGGCGATGAAGTCATCGTTCGGGAAGTGATAGGCAGGAATATTTTGCAAGATGCCATCTCCATCGTTCAGGTGCATGTCATCAGCCACTTCTACACCCTCATCATTGGCCACATCGTCACCTTCATAATTCTCATCATCGTCATCATTCTTGTTATCTTCACCGATAACTTGCTGTGAATCGCCGACAAACATTTTGGGTTTCTTTTCAACTGGATTGTAATCATCGTCATCACCGGCGTCATCATTTTCTTCATCTGCAGTAGCGTCACAAGCGACATCGCCATCACTATCGGGTGCCTGCTTATTCTTTAAATACATTTCTAAAAATAACTTCGGCGCGAAGAGTGGGCCACCGGGCGGGACGACCTTAGGGGGTGAGATGTTCACCCCCTCCTCCTCCTGTCCATCGCAGTCATCCAAACCGTTGTCATCATCATCATTATTAAAATTATCAAAAATATTATCATTATTATGATAAACAAAGCCGCTATTATCATCCTCATCATTATCTCCACCCACATTATCATTATTATTATTACTATGGGCGACTTTGCTATTGTGTCCGTAATCAAAGGTAACAGCTCTAGGCGCGTACGGGCGATCGTCGTAACTATCATCGCTGCGACCGCCATAATCATCGGCGGTGACGTCATTGTCGTAATCTTTAAAACTACTTCCTCTTCCCAGACTGCTGACAGCGTTGTACACTTTGGCTTCAGAAAGTTGATGATTCCTTGCACTATTATTATTATTATTATTATTACTACTACTATTACTACTATTGTTAATATTATTATTGTTGTTGTTATTTAATTTTTTCGTAGAATCTAGAATATTCTTCAAGACATCAAAGACATCTGGCTTCAACTTTGTAACCTTTGAAATCAAGGAAGGTTCAACGACTATACCACTTAACGATTTATTAGTACTGCTACGGCCGGCCCCACAACTAACATTATTAATAACAGGTGGAGGTAGAGTAGTATTGCCGTCAGTAAAGTTGCTCAAAGTGGTAACTGTAGCAGCAGCAGCAGAATTATTAATATAACTATTATCATTACTGATTTTATTATTATTATTATTATTACTACTCAAAAAACTGCTACTTAAGTTATTATTATTCTTATACTGATCAAATAAGCTTAATAATTTAGAGGTAGCCAGTACATCATTGCTAACATTACTGGCAAACACATCATTATTATTATTATTGTTGTTGTTGGTATTGTTATTATTATTATTTATAAAGGTATTTATTAGATTAGTATTGTTCATGGGCTGGCCAAGGACATCTGACAATTTCGATCTGCTCACCATCACCCCATCATGGTCATCACGACAACTATTGTTTTCATCATGAACTAAGGAGTTAATTGGGTCAGTATTATTCTTGACTTGACCCAGAATATTGGGTAATTTAGCATTTGAAGGCATCACTTCGGTGTTGCTAGCATCACTAACACAATAGTCATTTCGTTGCTGAACGGCCTCAGTAGTTTGATTATGTGCCAGGAATTTTTTCAACAGTGACATTGGATCTAAATTCACGGATGATGCTGATGATGATGACGATAGCGATGATGATGATGATGATGCTGCTGCTGCAGATGATGACGACGACGACGCTGATGATGAAGCCGACGTGGCTGATGATGATGGGAACGGGGATAATGACGACAGAGATGACGATGACAATGTCAACAATATAGGAGGAAGTGGGGGTGGTAGTAATGATGATGATGATGATGACGTTGCTAGTGATAACGATGATGACGTAGACGATGATGACGTAGACGATGACGTGGCAATGGTGCAAGCTGCTGCTGCTGACGTCATCTGGGGTGATGGCAGTAGAACCTGGTAAAGCGAAATACACAAACGTCGTCATCATCCTATTTATAATAATAACAACAACACCTTACAATGAAAACAAGCATCATCATTATCACCACCATCTCTTCGATGAAACAAGCACCGTCATCATCGCTATCAGCAACGTCATCATCACCCTACCGACAAAAAAATAAAAAAACGCATACCTTTTTAGTAGCAATAGTTTCACTATTATTATTATTATTATTGTCATTATTATTATGATTATTATTGTTAGTAGTAGTAGTAGTATGGTTATCACTACTATTACAAGCAGTAACAATACTACCAGTATTAAGATTATCATTAATGACAGGGTTGATAGCAGCTTTCGTGGAATTAATTTTAACATCCATGCCATTACCGACTGTTGATTCTTTGGTCCTACCATTGCCGTTTGCGACCGTGACGTCATCATCGTCATCGGGAGGGGGTGGTGGGGGTAGGAAAGGGGCGAGATGGTGCGTCGGGGTGATCTCGGAGAAGTGCGCCCCCAAATTAGGGTTAATTTTCAGTAAAAGTGGGTCGGTGAATGTGTTCAAGTTTCTGAAGCCGCCTATGAATGACAGCTGCTGCTGTTGATGTTGCAATCGTTGCTGCTGTTGTGGTGGAGGTGGTTGTTGTTGTTGGTAGAATAACTGATGTATAAGATGCTGCTGATGTTGTAGGGTGTTCAGCTCATCTCGAAGTGCTGTCGCTGACGTCGATGAAGACGCCGTCGTTACTGCTGCTACTACTGCTGCTGCTACTGTATTTTTTGTGGTATTTGTTGAGTTTTCAAGACTTTTTACATTTAAACATTAATTTAGATGCCGTACTTTAGAAAGTAAATCACTCACCAGTTTTAGCAGCAGCACTACCATTATTATCATTCTCAGTTTCCCCATCTGAGACGTCCATATCTACTAACTCCATATCATCCTTACTGCAGCTACCAACAGCTGCTGTCGTAGCTGCTGTCGTGGCTGCTGTAGCAGCTGCTGTAGTAGTTGCTGTATCGGGTGGTAATGGGGGAATAAAATCCGGAACAGGTGGTGAGGAGCAAGGCGATCCCAAAGGACTCATGGGAGGAGGAAGGATTTTTATTTGCTCATCCAGTTTTTTCTTTATTGCTTTCACTCTACCGCTGAAGTGTTTGTATGCCTATGTTTTGGAAGGTGATTAGTTAACAGTTTTTAATACACCATCAACAAGCAACAACATCAAACACCAGCCAAACGACAACGGAAACTAACATTAGTAACAATCCTGGCATCTTTATACTGATCACTATAGTACAACATGGCGCATTCTAGCTGGTCAATTAAAGCGACTCGATCTGTGATTAGTGTCTGGCCGCCCTCGATGTACTGTGAGAGGCTTTCGTGGTTGTCTTCGATTTGATGGATGTACTGCTTGCCTTGCTGCCGATCTTTCGTGGCAATAGTAAAAAAGTAAATGAGTATGAAAATAAACATACCCTTGAATAAATCATTTTAACCAATTGAGATTAGTAGACTGTATAGATTGATTAACAGTTAAACGATTAACTAGTTAAATGTTTAATCCAGTCATAAGCCACATAATTACTAATTACCTGACACATTTAACACAGTGACCAAGTTAATTATCCAACCCTGATTAATTAATTAATTAATTAATTAATTAACCTTTGATGAGTTTAGAGATCTGTTGCATGTTGATGTCGGCGTTGAAAGTGGTCAACTTTTTCCTCTTCTGCTCGAGGTGGTCTTCAAATTCGTTGAACGAGGTCAATGTGTCTTGTAGGCACTGTATCTAATTGCGATTGGTCAGTTGGTTCAGTGATAGATTGAGTGATTGGTTGACTGATTGGTTGGCTGGTTCAATGAATAGCTGATTAATTGATTAATTAATTGACTGATAGATTGATTGGCTGATTGATTAATTCACATTTAAAAAAAATTTCTAACCTTAAACTCTGATAGAAGTTTACTTTTAGACGCTTCCACAGTTGTGTTGTCTGAAATTTTAATTGTAAAAATAATGGAATAAATAAATAAATATATGAATAAATACATAAATAAACAAACAATGAAAAAAATAAAAAAGAGAAAAAACATACTCAGTAGAGATAGCAGCATATCAACAAACTCTTTCTCATAAATACATCTCTCATCCCAAATCTTGAATATTCTCTCCACACTTTGACTGATGGACTTGTCCCTGTGTATGTACGTGCATATGTGTGTGTGTGCGTGTATGTGCGTGTATATGTGTGTGTATGTGCGTGAAGTTAGTAACATAACTCAATAACAAATAAGCATACATATATAGATGAATACATCTGTTCTATACATGCATACATAGAAAACTAACAAAAATAAAGGCAAGCACATATTCATACATACATACAAACATACATACATACAAACATACATACAAACATACCGAACAAGTAGGGCAGCATCCTTGAGCACCTCTTTAAATGCATCTTTATAAACTAGAGCATGATTTCTTCTACAGGTCTGAACAATCTCATTGCAGATATAGAATAATGTAAGTCTACGTTCTATTTTAGCTGTGGGGAGGTATGATGTATGTTTGTATGAATTGTATATGAGTGAGTGCATGTAGTCAGAAATGAGAACAAAATGAAAATATAGGTAAAACAATTGAAATGACAAATCATTTAGTTAGTTATTAAATGAAGCTACTAATTATTAAGATTAAAGTTAAACAAATATAAAAAAAATACAAAACTCAAATCCAATTGACACTAACTTGTTTTTAAGACTTTAAGCCACATACCAACAATCTGATCACACTGTAGTTTTTGATTGAGCATCCAGAGAGCCACAGCCTGTATGCTATCCTGTGTGGCCTTGGCCCCAGAGAATTTACTCTCAACTAGTGACTCATCTAACAACTTAATTGTCGCCATTTTTCTTGAGATTTCACCAATTTTCAACTAATTTGATCCTAGATTAGTAATTTGTCTTCAGTTGTTGAGACTTGAACTAGAGAATTCTTTTAAAATTAAAATTAGAAGTATAAAATTAAATTCCGTTGTTAATTTATTCTATTTTATATAACTTTGAAAAAAGATGTAAATGATATGTAATTTTCCGATCGTGTCTGATCGTTTCAAATATGCCTCGGCCCCATCTTACTAATTCCGGAGACAACTAATCCTAATTTGTATTTCTTATAATTTCTTATACGATATTTAAAAAACTTTTAATTAAAAATATTAATTAAATATCTGTTTAATATAATACTAACATTTAATAAATAAAAATTATCCTTTTTAAAATCAAAATTAAGAAATTTTTATGGTGAAATAAATACATTTAAAACAAACTGTCAGTTTATATAACAAAGAAATTAAAAGTATGGACAGATAACGCAATTTGTAAAAGTATTAAAGATACATTGTATTAATTCGGTTTACTAGAAATTAAAAGTTAGACTTTCATATAATGTATTAAAAAGGCATAAATTATAAAATTTTAATAAGTAACGAAATCTCGAAGTATAATATAGGATAACGCAAATACAGGTGCTCGGCATATTTCCATGGCAATCAATTCTTCAATTTACTCCACGCGAAAGTTTTACACGAATTAAAAAATATAAAATCAATTTTTTAGTTTTATGGCTAAATTCTTATAAATAAATTTTTCAAAATTTAATATTTGTATTTAAAAATTAAATATATTCTCCGATTTATCCGTCATCATGATTCCAATGGGCGATACATTAGTTCGATATGACAATCCCATATCAATAAGCAAGAATAACCTGGAAACGAACAAGAAGATTGAAAAGGTATAATTTATAATTATTATGTTACATGCACACTCACATACATATATACATAATTCATCTACCCATTCATTTCACACATTCATGCAAACATATACAAACAATGAAAATATATTATATTATACACACACAAACACACACCTATAAACCTCAGAAAAGTCAAAAAAGATCATCAAACTCGCCTCTGTTCGATAGTTTAGTAACGTCGCCATCTCCATCTCCGACATCTGGAGGCAGAAATAATGTTCCTGATGATTCTTCTATACAGAAGACTCAGGATATACTGAATGCCATGTTGCCGCCAAGGTTTTCCTGTGTGTGCGCGTGTACGTGTGCGCGCGTGTGTGTGCGTATTGTGTGGAAATTGAATTTTATGTTAGTAGGATTGAATGAAAGGATTAATGAAAAATGGTTGTTGTAATGAGCATACTGAGCTGCAATGAAATAGGTCAATACAGAAATAATATCTATCAGGCACTACTAAAATTTTTAAGTTTTTAAATTAATTTGACATCGGACATGTGAAAATTTTATATCATTGTGAAGGTTATTTATTTCTCTACTTTGTATATATATAGAATATTTTGTTAAACATTGCACTAGCATGACTGAAGAAACGAGCGAACGGATGGATGAATGAACGAACGAATGATTGAATGAACTAGATTAACACAAACTGCCAGAGAATGGATAGCGAACGAACAGCAATGGATACAGCATGTCTCGAGCACTCCGGCGACACGTTCGGATGTGGTAAATATTCAGGAATTGTTGGACAAGAAGCTCCAACAGAGGCAAGCCAGGGAAACCGGGATCTGTCCGGTTAGGCGAGAACTCTACTCCCAATGTTTCGGTACGTCGGTTCGCAAATTTTGTTGTTCTTGCTAATTGTGATATTTATTAACTAATTACTATATTAAAATTATTCTTTACTTATAAATTTGTTAATTAATTCGTTAAATGTAGCTGTCCCTAATTTTTTTAATCATCAGTATATCGGTCGTGTTTTATCTTTATGTTTTTTTGTTGAATAAATTTATTTGTCAATGTATGGTTGCGACATGTTAAGTTGCAATGGTCGAATTGAAAAAACACATACAAAGACACACACAGACAGACACAAACAAACGAACACACACACTATCTGCAGACGAGTTGATCCGTCAGGTGACAATAAACTGCGCCGAACGTGGTCTCCTGTTATTACGAGTGCGTGATGAAATACGACTGACTCTAGATGCATATCAAGTCCTGTACGAGAGTAGCGTGGCCTTTGGAATGAGAAAGTGTCTGCAGTCGGAGCAAGGAAAAGTTGATATGATCAAACAGGTTGTTACCATCGTGACTGTCACGCCATGAGGAACTGATCAGCGAGGATGTTGTGAATACGGCGCGAAACTCAAATGCCCACACATACATACACACACAAAGTACCTACACATACTTACGCACGCAGATAGAAGATTTAACTCGAGAGAAGGCTGAATTAGAGAGGCAGGTTGCTGAAGAGAAAGCGAGATGTGAGCAGACGGAGAGGAGATACCAGGAACAGAAGCATCTAGAAGAGAAGAAACATTCGGATGAAGTTCAGTTCCTTAAAAAGATCAATCAGCAGTTAAAGGTTATGATGATGACGACCGTGATAGTGATGACGACGACTATGATGACGATGAGAACAAAGTAGAAAGTGTCGATGTTAAGTGTCGATGCTTTATGTTAATCACCACCGTTCACACACACGCATACATTTATCCAACTGATATATCCTTCCAGGTTCAGCTAGAAGGAATAATTGCTCCGAAGAAACAAAATTGAAAAATATTTTTCTTTTTTCAATATACTAACAAATTAATTATTCTGTTTAAAACAATTGAACGAAATCCGGGAAAAATATTTCAATTGAATTTTGAGATGAAATTAACGACGTATTGATAGAACTGGTGCATGAGGTCCCTGCAGGAGCCAGCCAGCCATTCAAACTGAATGCTTTTATGCTTTCCATCGTTCAATAAGTTTAAAATAAACTGTATAATAAACTGGTTATTGTTATTATTATTGTTATTATTATTAATATTATTTTCACTGGTACCGTTATCATTACTATTATTATCAAGGAGAACAGCTTTATTATTATTAACATTATCATTAGTAGTAGCAGCAGCAGCGGTAGTAGCATCTGCAGCAGCTGTAGTGTCGTCACTCAAGACGTTAACATCCAATTTTAATTTCTTGCCAGTTGGTTCTTCACCATCAGCGTCACCATCGTCGGTATCTCCGTCGTCAACATTTTTTCGATTCGTTTTAACTCTATCATTAGCATTATCATTATGATCGTCGTTGGCTTGATTCAGTCTCCTCTCTGCCATCATCATCATCTTATGTTCACTCGTTCTCTCTCTCCCACTCATCATCTCTATCTTCTCTCCCTCTATCTTTTTCACACCCATCATCTCTCTTCTTCTTTTTGATCTTTGGTGGGACCATGTATTCTCGAAGGCTGTGACTATCCAGGATATTTTCTCGCATTTGAATGCGTCTGTCCGCCTTTCGAAGAATTCAACCTGAATGATTGAGTGAATGAATGAAGGAATGAATGAGTGAACGAATGAAAAAGATTGAATGAATGAATGAATAAAACGAATGACTGATTGATTTACACCAGCGATTGACTTATTGATTGAATAAAATGAATAAGCAAGATGGTTAATCTAAATGAAATGAATGAATAAATTAATGAACAATTAATGATTGATTGATTGATGAAATGACCTTCAGATCATTAAACATTCCCTCTATAAAAAACTGCCATTCCCCCATAGACTTCTCAATGTGTTTCGACGATTCCAGCTTAATACACAATGGCTGTATATGCTTTTTGGGAGATTTCATCAATTTCTGAATGATAATAATTACAATTGTAATAATAATTAATAACAATTAGAATGAAAACACACATACACGCACATAAATACACACACACAACACATACACACACGTACACACACACAACATATACACAATCAACCGAAGTATAACAACACCAATATACACAACATGGCTACTGCAACTAATACTACAACTACTACTACTACTACTAATAATAATAATAATAAGCTGACAGCTAATTGGATGTTGGAGTCACATGACCAGGCTAGACCCCACCTCATTGTATGGCCTTGACAGAATTCAGTTGTACATACATTAGTGATCTAAAATGGTTTATACGTACAAGGCATTTACACAAATATCATGCACAATCCTTTATTGTTATAATATTATAATATATTATATTATCATAATTATTATCATTATAATAGATCATAATTTAAATGGTTTTTATGGCCCTCCTCTGAACTTACATTATTTTCTTTAAGGTATTGAAGGAGTGGCTTCATACTGCACTTCTTGCCTAACATCGTGCTGTAGACTCTTTAGAAATAATAAAAAAATAGATTTTTACAATTAATAAAGTATCAGGATTTGGACAACATGTTAACATTCAACACTCATTGATGTACATACATTCATACAAACATTTTCACATATGCAAAAGAACAACCTAACAAATAAACACCCAAACACACATACAAACAAACATACACATACACACACACACAAACAAACATACAAACAGAGAGACACACACAAGCAAACAC